GGGGAGTCTCTGAGCATGCACAGAGTGGCTCACTGAAACCAAGCTAGAGGCTACTTCCCAGGGCCCCTCTGGAACCGGACAAGCCTCCTGGGGGGGCGGGGGGTTGTGTGGGCTCAGTGGCAGGCAAGCAGCCACCCTCCCCACATGCAGACCCTGTGACTCACGCGTGGGTGACCGAGAAGCAGTAAGACTTACTGAGGGCTGGGGTGCCAGGCCAGGACTGACGTGTGGACCATTCTCCCAAAGGCGGGAGGGAGGAGAAAAGCGCTGTGCCAGGATCGAAGGCAGGACAGGAAGAAGGCCACCAGGACTGGCCTCGGCACAGTGGCAATGCCAGATTGACACCGAGGGTTGGGCCCGGGAGGATGTGGCACAGGGTGGCAGCGGAGGCATGCCCTCGGGAAAAGTGCCTGCAGGGGCACATGGACAAAAGACTTCCCCAAAAGAGGGAATGGCAGGGGTGCAGGCTGGGACGCGTGGTGCCTGCTCGACTTCCCATCCCGCAAGAGGCTGCTGGGGCTCCAGTCCACTTGTTCGGGGACCCGTCATCTCAGGGGTGCCTCCGGTGTAGAACCCTCACGCCCAACAGACGTCCGGTGGAGGGAGCTTCATTACGGCAGGGGAAGCGGGGCAAGGAAGCAAGGCTGGCGGCACAGCGCCCTGCTTTCAGGAGTGCCCTTCCTGGGTGCAAAACATGCGAGGGCTGCCTGGTGCAGGACACGCAGCTCGCCCACTCCGTGAGCAGAAAGGACGGCATCCAGGGAGGCCACGTTCATGGTGAGAAGTCAGTGATCGAATGTCGCCGGTGGCTCAGATGGTCTGAGGTAGTATTATACACGGACAAGGAGAAACTGGACAAGCTGCTAGTGGATAAAGGTTAGTGAGGCCCTGGAGAGAGCTTCTTACGTAGGAAGACAAGAAAACCGAAGATCCTTCAGCACCGATCTGCTGCGCTGAAGCTGCTGCCAAGTCCATTTTGCTGGAGGAGAGGGCTGAGCCCTTCGTTTCTAGTGCCCCAGATAGTCAGAGAGCTGCAAGAGGTTGGGCCCTGTTGAGCTGGAGCTACAAATCCCTGATTCCCCCAACCCCGTCCACCCTGCAAGAAGCCTGAGTGGAAGCCTTGAGTTCGTCAAGGCCTCCAGTACCTGGTCCAAAAATAGGCCAGGCTGTGAGTCAGTACTGCAACTTGGTGTATCTCATTCTTCCGCTTACTCAGGGGTGGTTTGGAAAGAGTGAAAGAAGTGTAGTCTAAAAGTAAGAGGCAGGAGCCACCACGGTCTAGGCCTCCAAGGCGGGATCCGAATGCACTGAGCTCTTTAGTGCCCGACTGTGGCATCTGGGGAGGATGCGGAAGGCTGGATGGAAGGGGGAGTCGGAGTGATGGTGGTCTTGTGCCGGGGATGGTCCTTGGGAGATCGAGATGGCTCAGTAAGCAGAACTGCCGACAGGAGCCGGTGGGTCAGGCAACGGATTCAGCTTGACATCCTGAGAGAAATGAGGTGGGAGAGGGCAGAGGAGACGGAATGGTGGGCTTCTCGAGTCCAGTGGGGTGGAAGAGCCTGGAGGTTGGGTTTCTGGAAGTGTGGATGCTGTGCGGGCGAGTGCTGGCTTAGGGTGCCCCGGGTGTCGGCAGCAGAAGTGCCAGTGTGGATGGAGACACGGCCAGCATCCCCAGGGTGGAGGGTGCTCCTCCGAACAGCGCGGAGCAGCCCTGGGGCACCGGGAGCGCCTGGGGCAGTCCTGGCGGGTCTCATGACAACGCCAGAGGACAATTCGCGAAGGAGCGGAGGATGCCGGTGGGATGCGTCAGTACAGAGGCAACCTCAGCCTTCCAGGACATGGGACAGGTGCTGAGAGAGAACACACGGCTCCAGTGAGCAGCATTCCTGCGTCCAGTGTGGCGAGCCAAGACGCTGGAGACGATCGGTGGCGTCAGTCACACAGAATGCGTGGTTTTCCCAGGCTCTGTTGTGGTGGCCACGGAGCTGCTTGTGGGGCTGCCTAGCCCCCAGTGGCTGGGCTGGGGTTCAAGCAAGCTCAAATCCCGTGACTGAGTCTTCTAGATGAGTTGCCTTTCCCCCGCTTGTTCTCGTGTTCCAAGGCCCGGTGCAGGCCCCTTGTTTCAAAGCTCGGTCTGTTTGACCTGCCTAGGGTCAAACATGGGAGCCAACGGGCCAGTCTTGAGCTGCTGGGGACAGCCAGCGTCCTGGTACTGGACAGGCTGGTACCCCCAAGCCCTGGTCTCCATCGTGCTGGTCAGGGAAGCTGAAGAGGTGTGTGGAGGCCATGGTGGCCCAGGTATGCCCACGCTCCCCAGAGGGCTCGAAGAGGGCTTTGCTCTTCCTCCTGGCCTACGTGGCCAAGGCTGGCAGTGCAAGCCGGGCTCCTCCCGTGGACCACTCCAAGCCACAGGAAGCCATAGGAGTGCCCGTCAGCCTATGGCATCTTCCCACTAGAGTGGGTCTCTTTCTTGGAGAAGGGCACTGGCAGGCGTGTGCCCCAGGATGAGGGGAGAAATTAAGAGGAAAAAGCCCAGAGAAGGAAGGAAGGAAGAACTGAGGAAGGAGGAAAAGAAGCTCCATTCAGTGCTGGAAAGGGGTCAAGAGCCTTTTTTTAAAGTATGTGATGCAGGAGAACAACCCAAATGCAGTCAGTCGCTGCAGGGAAGGGAAAGAAACTGAGAGGAGAGTGAGAGCAGTGCCTGGAGCATGTGCAGAGGGCTCCAGCCAAAGACTCTGCTTGGTTCTAGAATGTTCTGAATGACTGCTCTACGCAGACGCACAGCCCATCTGCAGGAGCCACAGAAACCAGAGAGAACTGGCCCTGGGCCAACACTCCGACTGATCCAATGGGCGACCCCAGCGTCTCTTTCTCAGGCAGTCGCCACCAGTTCAGCATATATAGGAAGTTGGGATCTTTTGTCCCAATGCTTATTTCTTTATACCCACTCCCACTGCAACACATTTGCCATTTTAATGCCCATTTCCCCAGTCTGCAGGCGGCCTCTTCAGAATTCCTTACCATCCATTGTTTAAACCTTTCAAAATGACTTAGCTCTGTCAGGAAACTGAGTTGCTTGACTACACACTCAAACTCCAGATTATTGATGAACGAGTTAAAAAGAATCAATCTCCTTATAATCAATGATTAATATCCCTCCACTACAAGAAGTGACTATTTATCCTACCCTTTGTTTTCTTTCTTTTCTCCAATTAATGCCTGAGTTTTTTTACTGGCTATAACTCGCTATCAGGATAAATGGCTTGGCTTGCAAAGTTACATGGGCAATGAAGACCAAGCTCTGCCCTCAGGGAGCTTACAGTTCAAAAGAGAAAGTGCAGGAAACAACGGATGCAGGGAAGAACGGGATCGAATCCCATCATCTCATGTACTCGAAGCATAGTTAGTCCCAAAACCGTCTTCTCCTTTAGGGGAAAATATCCAAGAGTAAGAACAGGGTAATATTCACCCAAAGATCTGTTTGAAGCTGCCTGGTTTCGACCCCAGAGCCCTTGAGGCAGTTCGCACCAGAAACCGAAACAATCGAACTGCTTGCGCTGCCTTTGTGAGGGCCCGTTCCCTTGTTGCAAAGTCGCGAGCAGGCCTTGGATTTCACGGGGACTTCTGGCGAGGTGACACGCCGAAGCGCAGCACGTGGTGCGGCCTGGGCGCACGGCCCTCGCCACCGCCTCGATGGCTGCTGGCAGGGGCCCTGGGCCTGCTGCGGATAAAATGCCCTGAAGCCCCATATAAACCAAGGGGGCGGAGTCAGCAGAGGGCGCCCATCGCCAGGCATGGGGACGGCGGCGAGGCTGCGGCCGCCCTCACCAGCACCAGCACCAGCACCAGCACCAGCACCTCACTTCAAGAGCGCTGCTCGAAGCTGGCTTGGCGGCTCAGAACTCGTGCAGAACGAAGAGGGAAGACAAGGGCCCTCTTTCCACGGCTGCCACAGACACGCTTGTGCCTGTGCACGGAGGGAGTGCAACAGGGAGTCGGGCCGGGAAGGCAGGAGGGCCCTGGCGGAGCGAGCCCTCCTGCGGCTGCCACGTGTTTTCCCCCAGAAGCCCTTTCAGGGCAACGCTGCACGAAGACGGGGCCCCGTCCTGGAGGAAACCACAGAGGCTCCTCCAGTGGCCTCCCCACTGTGCTGCGTGGGGCAGGAGCAGTGAATTAGGGCGGGGGCTTTTCAGCTCCACCCTGAAGAGGCCAAAATGCTGGGAGTTTCTTGCCTGTTTATCCTGCAGCTCTTGGCCACTTTTATGTTCGGGATGATAGTGCTCTTGCCCATTGTGGTGGTTGAATTGTGAGCCCAAAAAAAGTGGGGGAAAAGCAGGAAAGGGAAAATAAATATAAGTACCACAGGATACCAAGTCTGGAATAAGAACCCTGAAGCGATACCGCTAATGTTTTCATGGGCAATGATCCCGAGGCAAAACACCGCATGCCTCCAGCCTGAGCTCAGAAGAAAGCACGAAGCGCTGGGGCCCAAAGCAGCCGGCCGAGAAGGGTGGCCGTAAGCCATCGAGTACCGAAAAGCTTGCAATTGGCACCGTTCTGCTTTCTGTGCCCTCACCCAGCATCAACCTTGATCGCGCGCATCAACTGATATTGGAGAGGGAGACACGGTGGGAGCACTTGCTTTGCATAAAGAAGATCCTGCGTTCCGTCCCCGGCTTATCCGGCTGATGTGGAAGGGTGCGAGGAAAGCATCTCACCGCCTGAGAGCCAGGGGAGCCCCTGCTGGCCAATGCCAAAAAGCAGGCGCATCTCCGAATTGGGCGGACTCACCCGACCACATCCTATGGGACAGCCTGCAGGTGGCTTCTCCCGCGGCTGCTCAGCAGCTGCATTTGTGCAACTCAAGGGAAAGGCAGTCCCCTGCCAAGCAGGGCCAAGCAGCAGGACTAAGGACCCGACTCTTTTATGTCCCCTCGCCCAAGGCACGAGCACACTCAACACACACGGCTCCCACCAAAGTGGGGACTGGCGAGTCTTACTTTGCCGTTGTTTCCTCATCGTATTTTGTCTTCAGGTCAAATAATTCCGTCCGCGTCTTTTCCAAGGCTGGAGGGAGGGGAAAGAAGCAACACGCCAAGGCATTACTGACATGGTAAGAGTCATATCATGTTTTGCTTTTTCTGTTTTTAAAGGCCACTCAATTACTATTGAGCTATAAACTGTTCCCTGTCTGAAAAGTCATCTTGCATTAAGCTTTCTCTCTGACCAAACAAACTCACACTGTAGAAAAACAATGCTTAAAAGCTTTTCGAAATTCTTTCTTTCAGAAAACACACAGACGCTCAACCAACACCAACCACTGCTTGTTCCAGGAACAGTGAAAGTTTCCAGATCCTGCCCTGCTCCATCTTAGCTACATGCACTGCTGTCCATTTGCAGTGCTGCTTTTCTGACACAAACCCTCTGCAGTGGCTCATGCGGGGGCTGGTTTTGGCTCCAGATGGAAAGGCAACTGGTTGGCTGCAGCTCTGAAAGGCAGGAATGAGCTGCCAGAGGAAGGGGCCAGAGGGCAATCCCCCCACTGCTAACGTCTATGGGATGCCCGATCCAGCTTCCCCAACCCAATCGCCAGGGCCCTTTCAGAAATGCAAGTGCCAAGAACTTCTGACATAGGAGCCGACTGAGATGAGGTGTGTGTGTGTGTGTGTGTGTGTGAGTGAGAGTGAGTGAGAGAGAGAGAGAGGGGGGGGGATCCCTCCATCAAGGGGCACTGGTGGTGGCTGGGATGGCAGCCCTGGCCAACCAGTATTCAGCAGCTGGTCCTGCCCTCACCACACGGCAAAAGGATTCGCTGCCCCCGCCGCCAATGGGCTCATTTGCGCATTACGGCCTGCTGATGTGAGAGCCGTCCTCTTATACTGCGCTATCTCCATGGGCACCAAGCAGCGGGCTACTGATTTCCTTTGTGGGCAGGACCACGTCTGGCCTCCCACGTGATCGCAGAGCTGCCTGAAGGTGTGCAGGTCAACACATTCCCGTGGTTTTGTGTGAGAGCTGCTCCCACATCGGTGGCCGAGACGCCGGCACGAGGCTTCTTTCTGGGCATTTCTATGCCAGGCATTCAAATCACTTCCGTAACGTGCCTGGCTCGCTCCCCCGGCGGAACGCCATGGAAATAGACGGCTGCTCCAGACGCGAAGCCAGCATCCCCCAGGCGGTGCCCTCCAGATGCAGAGGCCTGAACTGCCCAGAATGCTGCACGCCTGGCTGCGGACAGCCGTTCAGCAGCAGCTCCCTGCTGAGCCGTGTCCAGGGAGGGTGGAGCAGGACACTGCGTCTGGGGAAAAGAGGGCCTGCTCTCTGCCTCGGCGGGCGGTGGCCATGGTACTGGCTCACGTCGGTGCCGCTGCTACTTTAAATCGGGTTCGTTGCCCCGCTTCCCAGCCAGTTTTCACAGTACGCCGTGGCTACCTCTCTGGGTCCAAGGGCCAAGACCCAATCCAGGCTTTTAGTGTGGGTTTGGGGCAGGACCTGCAGAACCCAGGAAACCCAACTGCACTGCTTCTCGGGGAACTGCAGAGGGCTGGGCTGGGACTCGGCGATGACTCTCCGCCGATGTCAGTGCGGCCTTCAGGCAGGTGAGGCTGAGCCGGCTGCAGCCGGCCTTGCCTACATCCCAGCCTCTGGCTCTGGGCATGCAGGCACGGCATCCGCCCCGGGCAGCACGGCCTGGACCGCCCCGGGGGCCACTCTCCCACTGCCCACGGGCACAAGTAGCGGAGGCAAAAGGGCAAACCTGTCTGCAGGGCTTGCGCCTTGTGCTCGGCCTCCTCCAGCTTCGAGGCCGTCGACATCTGCGTCTCTTGCAGCATTCTGGAAGGAGAGAACCCGGCACTGAAAACAGGCCTGTGTCTGGGCAACAGGCAGCGTGGAAACAGAAATGCACAATCGCCCATTTCAGATCATGCCCTCGCCAGCGGCAAACTTCACCCCCGCCCCCCCGGGGCTGGAAAGAACGGCCAGAGCCCCCGCTCCGCCCCCCGGGGCTGCAGATTGTGGATGGCAAGGCCCACGTGCAGCCAGCAGCTTTGGCACCAGGGAAAGTGGGACGTGGCTCCGCCCTCTTTGCCACCCCCGAGCCCCCAGCTGCCTTGGGGCCAGGCATCCCTCTGGCTGGAAAGCGCAGCCCTCCCAGCTGGGCAGGGACGGGCCCCTTAGTCACACTGAAGGGAGCCTGGGACAGGCGGAACCCCTCACACAGGGCCAATGGGTGCTGCCCGCGCATCCCTGCTCCCTGGAAGAGGGGCAGGTGGAGAGCAGACATTGTGGACTTCCGCTCCCAGCACTCCTGACCACTGCCCGGGTGGGCAAGGACCTCCACGAGAGGAAGTCCAGAAGGCCTGGAGAGCTTCCTTCTGCATGCTTCTGCCTTCCCCAGACTGGTGCCCCCAGGCGTGGACTACAGCTCCCATTATCCCCGACCTGCACGGCCACTCTCTCTCAAGAAAGCCAAGTGGAACCCCAGGATCAAACGGGTCAAGAGAGACGGGTCTGCATGGCACAACATCCTCAAGGGCACTGGAAAGACCAGGAGCCCCCAAGCAGCGGCCAGAACCACAGGCCCCGGACCAACTCTGTCTGGGATGTGCCACGGTTCAGCCCCGGGTCTCTGCCAGGGACTACATGAGAGCACACAAGTGCATGCTCCCTCCCCACTAGTACTTCCCCTCGGTGCCCTCCAGGCGTTCTCGTGTTAGCATTAGCAAGGCAGCCCGTTCCCTTTCTTCTGTTTCCTCAGGAACCGCCTAAAGTAAGAGAAAGCCCAGGTTTTCCAGAACTAGCACGGACCGGATGAACTCCGTGTGGAGCCTCGTGACTCTGAGGGCCACACGTGGCCTGCAGGCTCTGCACCCAGGATCACCAATACGCTGGCCTTGCCCTTTCGGAGCACTTCTACACACACGATCTCAGCAGTATCGCTATTCCCCCAAACTGCTTCAGCCTTGTTTTAATCAAAATGTTTTCATTTTGCTGAGCGCTTTCAAGTGGACTGAGATCTCACCACTTTGCTAATTTCTCTATTTTACCTGCATTCATAATTTTAGCCACCCTGTTGTTGTTTTTCTATCTAAACTCCCCTAACAATCTGACAGATACAGAACGACAATGGATGGTCAAGACTAGTTCGGGGAGGTGTGATCCAGGGACCTCCTGGTTCTCCGCTTACATTCTTAGACCAGGACTGTAATTTCAATTTAAGAAAGAGGCAGCTGAGGGCTGGGGATGACATTCTGATGCCGCCGTCAGGGATCACAAATTCCCGCCAAACACCTGCTTAGGATGCACTTTCACGCACATCTGCGTACGTTAACGTACCGTTCTTTCTCTGCAAAGTCATTCTGCAACTTTTGTTCTTTCTCAAGAGCGATGGTCTCCGCTTGGTTCTTCAGGGTCTGCTCATACTCCCGAATTTTCTCTTTAAGTGCTTTTATTGTCACCTCTGGAGGAGGATGGGGCCGCAGGAGTGGGCACCGGAGCGGGCGGAGAAAGAAGACAACAGGTAAACACTTGCGCACGGCTGCCGAGCGCACACCTCTCTTCCGCTTGGAAGGGGCAGCGGCTGTGGCAGAAGCGTGGCTTAAACTTTAGCTCTTCAACTCTGACACAAAATCAATGACTACGAGTCCCTTTGGAGACCTTTTACTCCCTAAATGCTAAACTGAACTTTAAATGTTTAAGGTTGAAAAGGATCAATGGACTTTGCCGGGAAGCAGAGCTAAGGTTTCCCTAACCTGACTGTGAAGCAGAATGGCGCATCCGTGGCAAGACAGCCCCCAAGCAGGCTCAGGAAGGGGCAGCGATGAGTAACGGGAAGCGGGTGTCTCCTGGCGCGGCCGTCAGCCCGTCTGGCTCGGCAGGGTCTGCAGGGACAGGCAGTGGCTTTCGGGCGGTCCCAGGAAAGGCTCTGCTCCAGCCCTACCTGGGGAGCCCAGACACTGGGCCTGGGGCCTTGCGCATGCCAAGGACGTGACTTCCCACTGACCCGTGGCCCTGCCCACGGCAGCCACAAACGTCCCGGTGCCTGTGACAGGAACTCCAAATGGGGTCCCCTCCCCAGAGAAGTTAACCTGTAAAGGAACGAGCCACTCGCTGGCCTGTAACCTGGAGGTTCGGCTACGCGTAGGATGACACTGCTGAGAGAAAGTGGCTAAGCTGATGCGGGGGGGGGGGCAGGTATATGAAGCAGGAGGGGCTGCGTGCCAGAGGCGGAGAGGCGGCAAGAAGTCATTGCTTCTGCACTTGCAGGCTGGGATACAGGGACAGAAACAGGCCCTGGGAAGGCGGAAGGGGGCTGAAATCCGTCCAGGCACTTTTCTGTACTGGGACAGGTTTTGCGCCATTTCCTTCCAAAGGTGATCTCCAGGCAGGCAGGCAGAGAGACCAGAGTGTGCAGTCTGCTGAAGAACTCCCTGTTCAGAGAGGCATTTGTGGAACTGAGCGTGTCTGGGAGAGCAGCACCGGGTGCACATTAGGGTCTGGAACATGGCATCGGGCATGGCACTCTCATGCAGAAATGTAGGAGGATAAACAGCTTCCCCGCTCCCCCTCTTCAGTTGCAGACGAACGGCTGAAACTTGCAGGCCACCCGCGTAACGGACAGCAGTCAGTCTAGCTGACCGAGGCCAAGGCAGTTTGGCTACTGCAGGAATGGCCAGAAGTGGCTGCTTTCAGGGTGAGCACCGGTCTCGTGGAAAGGGAGGCAGTTTGGGATTGAACAGGCTCTCTTCTCTCTCCTAGCCCAAGACATGCTTGGCTGCAAAGGCCAACCATGCACACACAAGCTAAAAACTGGAGCATTCTGGGGCACTTGCTCTCTGAGATAATGGCATTTTCATGTACAATGGCCACCTTTAACAGCTTGCCCATCCGCTTAAATAACTAACCTACATTACTTACATATCTGCACTCTGCCCTAGGGATAAACAAACGGCGACTACAGTGAAGGGTGCACATGCCTTGGTGGAAGCACATGAATCCAGAGAGAAAACGGTGCATTACTAAGTACTTGCTGCAGCTGCGGTGCAGGGCAGCGGCCGGGGCAGAGCCACAGGCACACGGACCGATGCGGGGACCTCGAGGGGGAAGATGGCTATCCTGAAGGTTAAACACGCGATGGCTCACTCAGGGAAAATGACGGGGGAATTAGGACAAGTACGAAGCGGTCCGGGAGATTCTGGCTCAGAAAGGATGTTCCCAAAGCAAAGCGGCCTGGGGGTGCTGCGGGGCTGGAATCTGAACCTGCCCCAGCATCGCCGGGGATGGCTTGCTCCCAGTCACTCATAAAGAGCCCTCATCCTGGCTCTGGATCGTGAGACATCTGGGAACCGGTTTTAAGAAGAAGCTTCCTCCACTGAGCACCACGGCATTTCTTCGACGTAAATGAAACCAAACCTTTGTGCTCACACCAACATTAAAACAGCACTCCCCACCGCCACACAATACCTTGATTTTTCACTTCTGCAAATTCTTTGTTGTATTCCTCAAGTGTTTCCCTAAGCTTCTGGTTCTCTGTTTCAATATCATGCATGCGCTGGACTTTCAGCTGGAGTTGTTGCCCCAGATCCAGGGCTGGAACAGGATCTGAACAGGAGAAAGACATGGAAGGCATTGATCAGGAAGACCAGGTCAAGTCAGCGCCACCCGAGACCTACCCCAAGCACTCGGCAGAGGGGCCGCACCCTGCGCCCTCCAGCAGATCTTGGTGAGGTATCTCTTAAGGTGCTGGCCTTCGTCTTGCAGGTCCTTCAGAAGGCTCGTGGCTGGCTGCACTCGCTGCCCCTCCTTCTGGAGCCCCCTGCCAGACCAGGACCAGGAAGACTCGAGTTCAAATCCCAGCCCAGCTGCAAGGCTCACCGCAGGACCGGCAGTCAGTCATTACTGCTCCACCCAGCCCGTGCCACTGGAGTGCGATGAGGATAAGTTGCGGTGGAGAAAACCAAGCACCTCGTCCTCCGCTTCTCGGAGCAAGGGCACCGTAGAAGCAAGAGGCAAATTCAGACAGCGGAGACACTCATGACGAGAGGGACACAGTGGCACCGTGGCGTGCCGAGAGGAAGGCAATGGGGGGGTGGGGGGACATGGAAAGGCAACCGGAGAGACCAAACCAACCAGAAAAGGGCACCGGGCAGCACCCATGGGACCTTCCTAACGGCCTGCTTTCACTGCCCCTATTCACTAGGGACGGGCTCTGTCGGCCCAGGACAGAAGATGCACCCTGTGCTGGGGGGTCCCGCCCATGAGGCATCTCAGCTGTTCGGGGTGCTTGCCATTTCACACACAAACAGCCTTCTCCTCCTGGGGAAGTGGCAGTGCTGGACTGGAGCAGGGCCGGAATCAGGCTGCCTCTGGAGTGTTTTGGGCGCAGGACGGAAGCACGCGCGCATCCCCGCTGAATTCTGACTGGATCGAACGGGCAACTGCCCGCTCCCTCACCGTCCACCCGGGACGCTCCGTACACGAAGCCCGTCCACAAAGGTGCCGCAATACACCTGCCCCCGGAGCCGGACAGGCCCATTTTGCCGAGTGGCAGGCGCAGCCGCAGGCTTCCAGACAGGGGAGAATCCTGGAATCCAAGCAGGTCTCATAAAACAGCGCTGCATACATTTCAGCGTTGGGCGCCAGCTTCACTTGTGAAATGGCTACAGAGATTTAGTCTCCCACCGAGGAATGTTAAACACACCAATCTCGGAGGATCAACAACAGTACATATTAGGGAGCTGGCTTAATTTGCCGCCGCCACAATCATTAATTTCACAGACCACCCTCAGTGGCTGGAAACACATAATAAGCCCATTGTACCTCTGCAAGAGCACTGAGCGCAAGCCCGGGCGCTTTGCGACACGTCAGCCCAGCGCCAGAGTTTACAGTAGAACAGGACTGGGTTATGTTGAGCAGAGAGGCAGGGTGTGCTGCGTTGTGTTACTGCTCTCCGAAAGGGCTTCCTGCAAGGTGGGGAGGGGAGGGGGGGGGGGGGGCACCAGGGCTGCTTATCACTTGCCCTCGCGGCACATGCATACTTTATGACTACATCGCTTTCTCATTTGTGGTTTTTAGGTGAGGGCTGCTTTTTCCCCCTCCATTATTAGCACTGCTAAAATATTCATCTCACATTACATTTTTCAGAAAGTTAGTTAACATGGGAAGGATTTGGGAGCAATTATAATGTCTAAGTGGCAGGTTGGGGAGGCAAAGCCCCCGCACGACTGTCCAACTGAGAGTCAGGCCACTGATGACCTGGCTGGCTGAAAGGGACCGCCCGGCTGCAGGGTCTCCCAGGTGGAGGCACCGGGAACAAGATGGGGAGGGGATGTGCCCCCAAGCAGGCTTCCTGGCTGCAGCTCCTTGGGGCGGAAGGGGCGTGGCAAGCCCTACTCCATGGGGAGCAGCCTGGAGGCAAAGAAGTGCTCAGGGCGGCACGACGACAGGCCCCTCGAGGCCTCAGCCCGGACCGCCCGGGATGCACACGTGCCCTACCCTTCACAGGCCGTGGGTGGGCTCTCTGGGTCAAATCCAGTGTAAAGATAAAGAACCGAAGAAGCGAGAGCCGGGGGTGGGGTGCGAGGGCTGGATGCCCCCCAACATTTAGCACCTGGAGAGCAAGCAACACAGGGTTCTCTTCACAGCCGCCTGTGCTGTGCGGAGGAGGGCTTTGCATTTTCCTCTAATACAGATTCTCATCATAATTATTTCCCATCGTTGTCACTCACAAATACGCAATCCCCTTTGTTCTCTTTTTCAGGGGAGCATTTCTGCTGTCTGGTCTTGGGGTATGTACCTGCTGTACATCTTGCCCCAGCACACACTTTAACCAGGATGTTAATTTTGGAGGACCCACGAGATATGCAAACCAGCCAGCCTCCCCTAGACTAAAATTAGCTGGGAATTTATATGAACCATCATTCTTGGTACCCCCCGCCCGCCGGTGCCCCCCAGCACTACCAACATCTACATTCTAAAATGAATAATGACTAAACCTTTAGTCAATAAATTCCCAAATCCCTGGAAAGCATTATATCGTAAATGAAAATGTTGGCGCTCTCATAATTATTCATCAGGATATGTATATTTAATTTAGCTCTATTAAAGGTTAATGTCAAAGAAGCAAAACAGTCACAGAATAAAGTATGAAGAGAATGTTAAAACCATCTCCTTGCATTAAACTTCAAACTTTGCTTAAGCTGAGATGAATGATTAAAATGTCAACAGCTTCAGAATATTGTTTTGGGATATGTTAAGGAGGCCAAGCTGAAACAAGACTGCCCTGCTTTAATTTGTACAGCTTGTATTAAAGAAAACTCAATTACATCACATTTATAATGACCAAGACAAGACTCCACCACTCACCAGCCCAACGATTTCAATATTTCAGAACTCAAAATGCAAAGGCCACTAGAGGAAGGCACTGGGAACTCACAGGTATTCCCAAGGGTGACTTTTTAAATGTCTGTCGCATGGATGCTGTAATTCTAAGACTGGGGTGTACCTGAACCCCTGGAACAAAAATAACACTTTCTCTTAGGTGTGTAAATCTAGCACATACACCTCCAGAGGGCTGGAGAGAAAGTGCAAGATGCACCCTGGTTGTTAAACCTTACGAAAAGTTCTCAGGGGCAGCATTTCAGAGTGTGCAGGGGCAGAGATTCTGGGAAGCCGGTGTCATCCTGCCCTGGTGTGCTTGTGCGTCACACCCAGCAGGGTACAAGCAGCTCAAAGTGGCAGTGGGACAGGAGAGGGATCAGACACAGGCGAGAAACCTGCTCACTGAACTCGTGGGTTTGTGGTTTCATCGTGCGGAACGAGGGGAGAGGAAGGCCAAGAGTTCTGCTCAGGTTCTGATCTCCACCCTGACAGTGGCATGTAGCAGGTCTACCCTAATGCTGGAGTGGAGGTGCTGCACACACCTGCGCGCGCGCGCGCGCGCGCGCTCTCTCTCTCTCTCTCTCTCACACACACACACACACACACACACACTATTTTAAGGATACCTGCATTGTGCAGAGGGTTGAACTCAATGGCCTTACAGGACCCTTCTGACTCTACGATTTTACGTATAAACTGAGTGTGAAAATGATTTATATACTATATTGCTGAACGGAGCCAAAAGCACTGAAAAGGTCCTTCCAAAATGGAATGTTCTGCAGAGCTTTGTTCGATGTAAATTACTATTGCTAAGAACAAAGTACACTAATAAGCAAAGGCATTTAGAGGGAAGCGGAGTTGTGCTTGAGTGTTGCCCAGGCTTTCAGCCGAGATGGTCCATGCCGGAAGCAGGCCAAATCCATGCCTATCAAAAGGCAGTGCTTGAGAAGTGTCTGGTCCTCATGGAGGCAGACAAACTGCTTCTGGGCTTCATCATTTGGGACAGCTGGTGGGGATTCCCAGGACAGAATCTTTTATACATGGGGAATGGCAGCAGGAAATCCCGCAAGAAGAAATCTTAGCACACTGAGAACAGGGCTTCCTCTCCGGACAAGCGAGTTTTCTGCAAGCAGAGAGATGGTGCTTTGTGGTGCAGGGAAACAACTCTGGTCACATGAGTTGTCTCACAGCTTGCCCACCTCCATGAAAACAAGCCTTGCAGAAATTACCCAGACCTCAAGACCTCAATGTGGGATATCCTCAGCATGGGATGCCCTGAAGTCTCTGACCCCACAGCCAAGCTGGTGCTTTCCAGGGAACCTCAGAAGGGCCCTAGGTTCACTTTTCATGGGGCAAAACCTTTCAGTATGCACCATGAATGACTGGCCCAAACTCTCAGCCCCAGACTGGACTCTCAGCCCCAGAAGCAGCTCACTCACTTTTGCCCTGGAGCGGCAACGGCAAAACTTGGTCCCCGGGAACACGAGGGCGCTTCGCAGGCAAGCTGCCGTCCTCGAGAGGGGAAGGGCGAGCCCCGATGAGGCCTGTGTTCCAGCCCAGCCCGTAGGGTGGGGGAATGGACCACAGGATCTTTTGGAACCCTCCGGGGAGATGCTGGGACCGAACCTGGCCCTTCCGCAGGCAGGCACATGCCTTCTCACACCAAGCTAGTCCCCACTCCTGCTCTGGAAAACAGCGCCGTTCCCAAATCCCGACAAAGCCCTTTGCCAAGGGGGTTAAGCCACCAGAAGGGAACCGTAGCTGGGCCTCCCCGCCTATACCCATCCATTATTCTTGGAATGCTCCCATCTTCGCTGTTTTCCCTCCGGCTTCTTCTCATGCTTCATGACATTTGTTCTGGGATTTCCTTACTTGCTTGATTCCTGGCTTTTATTGTTTGTTCTTTTTCGCATACTGGTAGGTAAGCTGCCTTGAGCTTGATGAGGAAATACAAATATTTTTAAATTAAGAGTAAACAATATAGACAATACCTTTGCATTTTACCTTTTACTGATGTTTGCCACCAAGTTTCATCCAGAAATCAGAAACAATCAAATCATCCAGTATTTAGAAGTTTGGGAAAGCTTGAATCTTCTGTTAAATGAAAGGCCTGTTCCCACTGATACTAATCAATACGGAGTTTTAAAATGCTTTCCACCCACGGCACATGCCCCGACACTTGAAGGGACTGCTTCGAAAGAGGCATGGGGGTTATTCCCATC